CGATACCATATCACACCCAAGAATGAATCCGTTGTCAAAACTCCACTCATTTTAGTCCGTATGTTCAGTTGCCTCGTAGATGGCTTAGTGTGTTTTGCATGTTTGCCAAACTCACAACCGGCAAGTCAGTTCCAACCCTTAGCCACCCTGCAGGGCAGGGCAGAACTGTCCCCGTGGGGTTTTCCAGACGGCAACTCTTTACGGGAGTAGAAAACCTCATCTTTCTCCTGCTGGGGGTTTTGAACTGCTGGCCTTGGGGTTAAAAGCTCAATGCACAACCCCCTACGCCCCCAGGGCCCCTGAGGTAGATAACACTTTAATTTGGGACCGAGGGGGTCTTCGCACTGGTGTCCTTCTCGCCATTCCCCTGCCGGCGTGGTGTCGGCAGCAGCCAGGGGGTTTGCTGACTGCAGCTCACGTTGTCACGTGTTCTGACCTGGGGATTGCCTTTCAGTTGGGGCTTGGATCCAGGTTGATGTTTTTGGCAGAACTGCCTCTTGGGTGACTGGTTTTGCCGCCTTGGGCGGTGTGGTCCTCAGCGGAGGAGGGGGGTTGGGGGGGGGGTGTTGGCTGTCAGTGATGCTCCAGGCCTGGGTTGTGCATGTCATTTTGAACATACCCTCATCCTGCCCACCGTGAATGACCGACAGCCCAGAGTTTCTGCTTGGGTCTTGCTTTCCTTCATAGGTTTGATGTTGGAGTCCCATACACAAGTCGTTGTTCAGTTCTGCGTGCTCGGGGCTGTTCATCAGTGGACCCCTTCCCTAGGTGGTCCCTGCAACTTGCTTTCCCATCGACTCCTGGCTCTTGAGAGCCACTCATTGTCACGGGCGTGGTGTGCTTCCATGCGTGGCTTTTCTGTCACCGGGGCCTTGATTTCCCAGTGTCCGTGATGATGGATGGGCACTGGCATGTCTCCTTGCCCACCCCGCCCCCACCCATCTCCCAGGGTCCCCAAACGCGTTTCTACAGGGCCATACCTGGAGTGGCACTGCTTGCTCACAGGGCGGGCACCCCTTCAACTTGGCCAGACAGTACCAGATTGTCTCCCTAAGAGGTGGTACCGGTTCTTCCAGCAATGGGAGTGATGCTGTCGCTTTTCATCTCCAGCAAGATGTGATGGTGACAGAAGTGCGGGTTGTTTTGCTCATCCTGAGAATTTGGCTAACCCACTTGGCGGGTCACCAAAAAGTGTGTGAGATAATCATCTTTTGGCAAACAGACAGGTCTTGGGCCATTCGATGTATTTGCAGAAAGACTGGGGCTGTCTGTGGGTGGCTGAGGACCAAACCCACGACTGTTGCGTCAGTGCCAGTTCACAGGGACCCCGCAGGACTGAGAGGCTGGCACCCTCATGGGGATCAGTGGCCTCATCTTCCTCCTGCAGAGCAGCTCCTGGGCCTGAACCCGTGAGGTCTGTTTTACCACCGTGACACTAGGGGTCCTTGTTGTAAACAGTGCTACTGTATGACCATGACCATCCCCAGCTACTGTTCTTAAGGGTGTGAGCACACCCAGCGGGGGGTTGCATGGAAGGTGCTGGAATTCCATCGGCCTGCACACATAGGTGCTGTCCTCTAGGGAACCTTAGCCAGACCCTTGGCCACATGCTCCTGGCTCTCCACTCAGGCACCTCCTGCCAGCCTTGCAGAGCTGCCTGCCCTTGGTTTCTGGTGGAGTGGGTGGGCTCGGGGAAGCACAGACTGCTGTGGGGGAGAATGGCTAACAGGTGCATACCTGGGATCAAGTCCGGGGTCCAGAAAGCTGAGCTTGGGCATGAAGCCCGACCAGGAGAGGGTGAAGGGGGCTCTCTGCACCTCCTTGGCTGCTGAGCAGCCAACCACACTCTCCCCTCCCCAGGAGCCCTGCGCTCTCTGCTGGGAACCGCAGCGGCACATGCTTACTCATCCTGAGAGCCCAGGATAGTTTGGGATGTGGCCCAGCGCTTTTCTTGTAACCCCGGGGTCTTGCTTGTAAAGTGGCTGGGTGCTCTGCTTCCGGGGGCCTTGGTGGCATCCTGTGTGGGTCAGGCAGGGGTGGTGGGGCGCAGGCTGTGAGCAGTGTCTCTCAGAGCCACCCACCCCGGAAAGGCAGAGTAGTGGCCTTGGGGTGAAAGTGCTTTGGTGAGCGAGGTGGGCTGGCTCTCAAATCAATTCCATCTGCTCACCGACCTTGAGCTGTGTGGTGGGCTAAAAATACACGAGTGACAGGGACAGCCACCAGCCCTGTGTGGTTAGCTTGGGGCCGTGCCAAGTGCTGGCCCCTTCCAGGACCGCACACAAGCCTTCTCATCTTGCAGACCAAGACAGTGAGGCACAGGGGAGTCAGATGCGGGCCTCAAGTTTCAGTGCCAATCCTTAGCACCACAGGAGGGAGACGTCACCCGCACCCTCCTCCCACTGTGGTGTGCTCGGGAAGTGGTAAGGTGAGACGCTAACTCTGCTTGCCTTTGAAGTACCTGGGGTGGGCCAACACCTTTATTCTCAAACTCGTCTGACTACTGGTGATGACCCAAACAGGGCGGAGGGGAACTGCCCTGCATGGTGTTCAGTGTTTGCCAGGCCTTTCTTCCAAGGTTCCTGACGAGTAGATGAGTGCATGTGCACCTGCCAGGGACTGGCCGTGGGTGAGGGAGAGGAGACTCCAAGTGAGGCTGCAACTGGACTTGAGCCAAACATTCCCTGTGGGGCAGCACCATTTCCTGCCCCCAGTCTATCTGGCTGACCTTGGGCAAGTCTCTTCAGCCTGGTTTCCTCTACTGACCACTACTTGCTTTGGGGATGATCTTTGACAAATAGTGCTTAGAGGACAGTGTAGCTGCAAGCGTGGGGTGTGCCCTCAGTGTCCATGGCCTTCGGGGACACTTGGCAGAGAGTCTCAGGCATGTGGTGCTGTTGGTCACTCTGGGCAGCCGCTATTGAGTTGAGAGACATGAGATCGAGGGAGGAGTTGTGGCTCTCACTCTGCATCTGCCCTGCCTGTTTCCACTCACCCGGCCCCTGCTGTGCGCCCGTGGGGCCTGGCAGTCCCTTCTCATGCCCAGCAGTGCTAGGGTGACAGAAGTGGCAGGAGTCTCCCGAGGCAAACTCATACAGTAACCAAGACCCATTAGTAGGGACATGTGACCAGGCACGTGGTCGTATGGGATGAGGGGCAATGCCATGAGCTGCTTGTGCATAAGTAGGCCTTAGAACAATCCGGAAGGTGCATTTACAATGAGAAAGCAGAATGTAAACCATCCAGCAGGGTGCAGGGCCCCCAGGGGAGGTGAGGGAGCCTTGGGGTTTCAGGTGGAAAGACTTGTCAGAGTAAGATCCAGTCCTTCACCTGCTGCTCCCCCTAGGATGCCTGAACCTCCACCCCCATCAGTCTATCCTTCAGATACATGTGTAGCAAGGAAGGCCCTGGGAGAAAGCTGACTTGGCAGACCATTGGGGATTTACTTTTATTGTTTTGCCTGCAGTTAGCAGCCCAGTATGAATGTGCAGGGGGGTGGGGGGGGGATCTGGGTCTCTGACTTGCCTTATCCAAGAAACAGACGGGAGCCCATGACTACATGAAGCTGTGGCTCCCAGAGCAGGTGTTCTGTGTCCCCTCAGGCATGGTTCCTGCGTGACGGAAGAGTGGCTTGTTGGAAGTGCAGTCCTTTCTGTAAGGAAATAACAAAAGGCAGGCAGCTTCCTACCCCCCCTCCCCCCCCCGGTCTGGGGGACAGTTTGTAGGGTGAGGACCCTGATGGCTGGCTTTCCTGGGGACCAGTTAAAACCCCTGATGGTCTAGGAGGAGGATTTTTAAGTTGGGTTTAAAGAGCTTAGGAAGACTGGGTGGTGCTGGGACCCCATGGGGTCCCGGGGGCTCCATCTCTACAGGAGCAGATTGTCAGGCTGTTCTGTCCATGAAGCTACTCTAGGGGTTTGCACGGCCACCCTCTTGGTTAGCAGCCGAGCCCTTACCCTCCAGGCCATACCAAGAGGGGATAAAGTCAGGTACCTAACAAGCTCTGGGAGAGGGAGTGGGAGCGAGGTTCCCATTGGGTGGGAGCTATGCAAGTAGAGGAAGGGACCATGAAATGGATTGGATTATTGATGGGGGGTGGGCGGAGAGTCTCAGGAGTTGGTTTTTGCCCAGGCTCCATTTGCGATGCCCGGTGGGGGCCAGGAAGGCCCTGTGTGAATTAGCCGAACGCTCAGATCTGGATGGAGCAAGCTGATTCCTCCCCTAGGCTGAGTGCAGGTCTGACTCCACCACCACAGCCAGCCTAGGCCCTCCCCTTCCAAGATCAGGCTCCAGGAAGGAGGGCCCTCGAAGAAATGAATCCCGGGACGCTTTAGTAAAGCAGGCACCCAGCACCGACTCCCGCCTGAGCATTTGGCGGGAGGAGCCAGCTTCACCCAGCTTGGCGGTGTTGTTGTTAAGCGACCCTGTAGCCAACAGACCGGAGCCGGAGGGCGGGGCTGCCGCTCCTTAGAACTGAAGAGACCGTGAACTGATAGCCTGGCTCCTGCAGCCCACTGTTCACTTTTGTTCTTTGTATGTGCCTGTGCTGCTTTGATGGGGCCAGGGCTAAAAATAGTAGCCTTGTTTCCTTTCTCTTCTGCATCGCCCACAAAACAAAACAGGAAGAAAAGGTGCAGGGCCAGGCCTTCTGAAGAAGGGCGAGAGGGAGGCAGGTGTCCCTGCTCCTGCAGGAGGACGGGGTACGCAGAGTAGCTTTGAGTTCTTTGGGGTTCAAAGTACCATTGCCATTCCAGCAGGACAGCTGTTTTGGCTAACTGCAGTAGCAGAAGAAAGGTGCGGGGCGGGGTCCCCTATTGAATGCCCCAGTGTGTGTCGCTGCAGAATGTGGGCTGAGTTACGGCTGGTGGGTTAACTTCCGCCCTGGGTTCTGTGGCCTGAGAGACGCCACTTGGAGGGAAGACACGGGCGTGAGCTAGACGTGTAATAGAGGCCAAAGGTGATTTTTTTTCCTTCTCAAAAACGGTTTTGCAAATCTTTTTCAGAACTGATAGACACACACCTTAGCTGGATACAAAACATATTATGAGACAGAGTGACTGTGCTCTTTGATCCGAGAAATCCAAGTCGAAGGTAATGGATGTTTTCGCCTTCTCCCTTGGGGTTTCCTTAACTGTGTTATTTGTCAACGATGCTGACAACGCTGTAGAGTCGAACGGTCCCGTCCTCAAAGCGTCAGATGCTTGGAGTCTGGGGGGAGGGGAGTCCGCATGTTCTCTCAGAGGGCCCCCACCATCCCACCCTCACACTATCCTGCTCCTCATTCTGTTCTCTGTAGGTCATTGGTGGTGGGGAGGGGGGCGTTCCCTTCAGATCTCGCTCACCAGGCCGAGCATGCTTGTGGAGGTGCCGGGGTGGGATGCTCCTGAGAGAAGTCAGCCCAAATCGCCCCTGTGCTGGGATGCCTCCTGGGTCATCACACAGGGCTGATTGCTCCCGCCTCCAACCCCCCTTCAGAACCATGTGTCCTCGAGGGGGCTTCCCGGCCCAGGGATCTGGGGACAGAAATGCTGTTAACACAGATGCTCAGCGTGTAAGCCACTGAGAACAAGGCCTTTTAAATGTGCTTGTCCCCATGCCAGTGCTTCTGACCCCACAGGGGCCTGGGAACGCAGGCTTGGCCAGGCGCCGTGGACTGCAGTGCCCAGTTCTAATCTGCATGGAATCGGAGTGGGCTGAGTCATGACTTCTTGGACTCTACCCACGGCTTTGGGCTACGGTCCTATCAAAGGTTTCTTGTCCTCCCCTGGGAGCCTCCTCCAAGGCCCCCAAGCTCTTGGGCATGCAACAGTGGTGGGACAGGATGAAAGAAAAGTCCTTTAGCCTGGGCACTGTCGCTGGGCAGGCCCCAGACCTTCCGCCATCACCCTGCAGACCCTGGCTTTGTGTGTGGCGCTCAGTGTAGCTTTCCTTAGGAGCACACGTGCCAGAGAACCCTTCATGGGAGGGAGGAGGCCATGCTGGCTGCCACACCCCTCGAGGTAGTCCAGCCCCCCTCTAAACTGGAGGGACAGTGTCGGCACGCAAGGGGACAGGGGCTGCAGTGGAGACACGCTAAAGCAGAGCCCGGGTTCCTGTGCACCCCCTCAGGGGCTGCCTTCTGAAAGGGGAGAACCTCTGAGCCACGCAGCTGGCCTCCATACAACACGGAGCATCCCAGGAGACAAGGCTGGACCCAAGGCTCCTCCTGCCACCAGCCACGCTGGAGTAGATCTGTGGCCTCAGGGAATTTTCAGTGATTCCCCCCAAGCAGATCACCAGGCCTTTCTTCACAGTGCCCTCTGGGAGGGCTCACATTTCTGTTAGCATCCACCAAACACTGCCATCGAGCCGATGCTGGCTCCTGGCGACCCTATGGGGCAGAGTAGAATTGCCTAGGTGGGAGGCTGGGTGAGACTGCAACTCTACAGAAGTAGAAAGCCTCCTCTTTCTCCCTCGGAGCAGCTGATGGTTTTGAACTGCTGACTTTGCAGCCCAATGAGTGGCCGCTACGGCACGAGGGCTCCTTTAGCATCCAATGGACAACAGAAGGATGCGGACTTTTGAGGTTCTGAGAGTAGACACACCGTACTCGCTCTGTCTAGTCAGCCCTTCTGCCAAGGTCAAAGTACTTGGCTGCCAAACCAAAGGTGGGGGATTTGAACCCACCAGCTGTTCCGAGGAGAAGCTTCCATAAAGATTTACAGGGGGCAATTCTAATCTGTCCTGTCGAGGCTCAGCAGCAGCGTGGGCTTTGGTGTAGGGCCACATGTGGCCCACAGCCTGTTTTTGTAAGTAAAGCTTTATTGGCACCAGTCACATCCCTGTGCTCGGTGGCTGAGAGAGAAACCCTCAGCACGTCCCCAGAAGAGAGGTGACGCAGCTGAGATGTTTCATTCCGGCCAACGTGCCTCCTAAACCAGCCCCACTTGCCGATGCAGAACAGGCTGTGGTGAGCTGCCAGACTGGGATGCACTAGAGTCTAGCGACCAGATAGAAAGGCCCTGTGAGCTGTTTCTGAAGGTCAGCCCTGTGTGAGCCTGGGGTCCTTACTGGGACGGGGCAGACTCGACCTCAGCGGCCACCTAGCTCATGGGGCAGCCTCTTCACTGACCATGGAGCCTGGTACTCCCATCCGGGCACCTCTTCAATGCCACAGCCAGGGATAGCACGTGTTGGGGGGTGGGCAGGGGCAGGAATAAAAGGCCTCAGACAAACTGACAGCTCATGTGGGCACAGAGGAAAGCCAGCTTCTTTCAGCCTTCGTGAGGGACTGTCAAGCACCTGCTGAGCTCAAGGAGCCCCGGTGTCACAGGGGTCCCTCCTTGGGCTGCTTTCTGCAAGGGCCCCAGCTGCTCCTCGGGAGAAAGACAGGGCTTTGTAGCCCTGTAAAGAGTGAGTGTCTACCAAGTCCTACAGTGTGGCTGTGAGTTGGCATCGCCTCGGTGGCAGGGGGTGTGGCTTAGTGGGCAAGGCCGAGGCTGGGGCCTCTCACCCCTGGGCAGGCTGCCTTCCTGGAAGGCGTGACGTTGGGGCAGGGGTGGGAGGACAGGTGGTGGAGCAGCATAGGTGCCCCAACAGTTAACGGCAGTGCTGGGGGGCAGCGCCTCAGCTTCCCTTCCCTCCTCCACTCACTTACTGCATGCCCATGAGTGAGCACCCCAATGGAAGTGAGGTGGTCAGACTGGAGACGTGGGGAGGCAGGTTAGGGGAGGTGACAGGTAGAGCAGGAGACCCCCACCCCCACCCCCACACACACACTTCCCCAGGAGATTTCACAGGCATGTCAGAGACAACCCATGCCTGCAAGCTTGGGCCTGGAGTGTCAGTCTCTCTCGAATAGCCCAGGGGCTCTGTGTCCTCTCTAGAGAGCTTTCTGAGGGGCTGAACAGGCCGGGAAGGGGCCCCGACTGCAGCCCTGTGTTTGCAGCAGGAAACCCCCTCCAAGACAGAGGCCCCCGTGGGTGCCAGCTCCCTGCCCAGCGGCTATTTTTAGCACCTAGGGCCTCTGGAAACTTCCCAGGAAGGAGCAGCTCCTCCATTTTCTAGGCTGAGAAAACAGGAAGCCCTCTAAAGTCCGGGCTTTCAAATGTTTCACGGGGTGCTCTGCTGCCCGTCTGTCTCCCTGGCAGCCCTTTCCTGCCCAGGCCGGGTGGGGGGCGGGCAGAGGCTTGGTTGAGGACACTAGTTACTCCTCTTCTACCCCGAGAACCAACCATGAGAGCGGCTCTAAATACAACCCCTGCCCCCTAGCCCGTGAGATCCACAGGTCCCCGCTGGACAGACAGGGAAGCGAGGCACAGAGAGGCGCGTCAGGAAGCTGTGGCACCCACCACCGGTGGGAATGGAAGGCACTCTTTCTCCTCATCCCTAATTCTTCAGCACGGCCTCCGAAAGTTAACACAAACACCCCGATTAAGACAGTCACCCCCCACCCATGTCCTCCTGCTCAGGCTGTGCTGTTTCTCACTGGAAACACTGCCAATGCCCAAAACCCTCTGAGAGGAGCTCTCGGGTCAGAGTTGGAATCCACCCCGACAACATCGCACCTCGGGGGCCCATGGGTACAGTGGGCAGAGCTAGCACCTCCGTGTTATAAACAAAACAACTGGGAGGGGGGGTTGACATTGTACACATCAAGGTTCCCCTGCGACCATCCCCTCATCGCATGCTGAGTGGCGGCAGTGGGCCAACATGGGCTGATTGTATTCTGGCTCCAGGACTTGGTATCCCTGCACCCCCCTCACTGTGGCTTCTGAGTAATCGTTGACCTTTTGGCCTCTGCGTGATGGTTTGTCAAGTAGGACACTGATCTTACGCATAACATCCTTTGTTTTGTCTGCTGCTGCCCCACTGGGTCCCCAAAGGGTGATCTTGGGCTAGGCCAGGGGCAGGCAAACAGGGACTGGGAAGTAAAACCGAAAATGAAACTACCATTGTTTCATGGAAAGGATGTTACCTACCGGATGGTGATTTCATTGGTTTGTAAACATAGATTTGGGGCTCTTCAATGATTTTCAAATTGTTGTGAGGGACAGGATTGGCCCATCCATCTCCAAAGTTTGCCGACCCCTGAGCCAGCTGGTTCTAGGCTCAGCATGCCTCAGGGTAACTTTAAGAATTCTAGTTCCTCATCTGTTCTTACTCTCATCTGGGACCAACTCTTGTGACCCCGATCAGGACAGTCAGTGGTGGCAGCTGGGCACCGCTAGTTCTTCTGGCCTCGGGGCAGGTGAGGTTGTGGCTTGCACACACTTGCTCCCTCTTGGAGCTTTGGGGGTAACTTCTTACTGTTTGGACCCAGATGGATGGCTGAACTTGCACTGCTCTGGATTCCAACTCACAGCGACCTCCTCCAGGGTAGAACTGCCCCATGCAGTTTCCAAGGGTGGGATCTTGATGGAAGCAGACTGGCACCTCTCTATCCCGGGGAGTGTTGGGGGGCAGATTCCCGTTGACACAGACAGGACTGCCCCGACTCCATCTCACTGTAGGGGCCCCTCTTTGGTTGAGGGAGAACCGCATTTTATCACACTCATCCTTGACTGGGCATTTCCCTGGATGGGAAGGGAAGCAGTTGAGAATACAAAGCATGAGCCCACGCTTGCATGAAATAGGCGGGACCTTCAAAGGGTTTATGGGCAGCTCCAGTCCCATGAACTTTTAGAAGGCCCCTTGTCTACCCCCTTTTCTGTCCCAGGGATGTGAACGAGGGCCATTGTCATGAGCCAGTCCACTCAGAAAACCCAGCCAGTACAGCATGGCTTAAACAAGGTACAACAAGCCAGCCGCTAAGACCAGCCCAATGGTTTGAGGTTCTAGAAAGAGAATCGGACCTGTTTTCAGTGCCCCACCCCTTCATCTTTTGTAGTTAACGAAATCATCAGGAAGGAGTTTTCAAGACCTCCCACCCGAACTCAGACGTAAAAGCAGCCCTGAAGCAAGACACCTTCCGGACCTGACCCTTCACCTCTGCCTCCTGCCCTGCACCCCTCTGACTCAGCGTCCACTGTGGAACAGACGACATGCTGGTTCCCGCAGACTCTGCATTCAGGAGCTCGCCACCTCCCTTTGTCAACACCCAAGGGACCGCTTTCTTCATTCCCCCAAGAGCATGGTGTTCCATCCACGTAAGTGCCTTCTGACCAAAGAAACCAGGCATGCCGGGACGTGCCTGCTAGCTGAGCGGTCACGCCTGGGCGCATCCAGCTCCTGGACCCTCCGACAGAGCTCTCAAAGCAACCAACCAAAGGAACAGAGCCCAGGAGTCCGGTCCAAACCAAAAATTCAGAGCTTCATGTCTACGGACCGCCTAGCCACACACCAGGGTCATGGCTAAAGCCTGACCACTCATTCTAAACCAAGACTGGCTGACTCAGATGTCCTCCCCAGACTTCTCAGCGTTAAGTTATGACAGTCCTGTGCCTTTATTTTATTCTGTCCCCGCTGCAGCCCAACCTTCTCCGTAGAACGACTAAGCAGCTTCAAGTTTAAGCACATGCAATGGATTTTGAGGAGGAATGGTGGAAGGGCAGGGCTTTAAGTGAGGGCCTGTCTGGGGGTGAAGTGCTTCTTCTATAGTTGGGTCCAGCCTGCACAGAGCAAGGACTGCTCAGGATTGGATCCCCAAGTTTGTCTCAGCTCTGCTTCAGCATGTCCCGTGCTGTGATGCCCAGGCCCCCCTGAACTGGGACCCAGCTGTGGGCATGCCACGGCTCCTTCATCAGCACCCACAGGGAGCTCCAGACCCTGTGCTGTGCCTTCAAGTTGATGCCACCCCACACCGACCTGATCGGGCAGTAGAAGTGCCCCTGGGCCTTCTAGATTGCCAGCTCTTTCTCCCGTGGAGCCAGGATTGGCCTGAACCGCTCATCTGTCAGTTAGCGGGCCACGTGCTTAGTGGTTGTACACAGGGCTCATAGCACTCCCCACAGACGGTGATTCCTCGGCCCACCCTGCTGGGCAGGAGGCCTGCGAGGATGGGGGGTTAGAACTTGCACGGTCGTTGCGGAGCCTTCCGGAGTGCCGGCCGAGATGTCAGTGTTCCAGACAGAAGCATTCACCTGTCTGTCAACACCAAGCATTTCCTTGTGTCCCCTTCCTCCTCCCTCCCCAAGCCCAGAGGAACGCACAATGCTTTTTTTTTGAGCAAAGCAATGCCAGCGAGAGCTGACCACTGCTGCAGGATCTCCAGCACGCTAACTTCCGCCTGGCCCTCCAAGGGCGCTCCTCGCCCAACCACCCGTTCCCGCCAGCGAGGGGCGGCTCCTCCCTCGGCCTGGCCCACAGCCATCTTTGCACATGACAAACTCTGGCCCTTCCTCCATCGCGGCATGTTCCAGCCAAGTGCCTTCCTGCTTCGTAGTAAAGCCACCCGGCCTCCCTGTCCACAGAGTGAGAAAGGACCAGTGGGTGCATCTTCTAACCACGCCGCGCCGCCTGGCCGCTCAGGCTCCCACACAGGTCCACGACTGCCGCTCTCAGAGGAAGCAGCTTTGGTCTCAGGACGCACACGGGCCCAGAGAGTGACCATGGAGACTGTGGATGTCAGGAAAGCATCGTCAGTTACAAATGGCAGGCTGTCGCCTGGGTTTGAAGGATTTCGTGGGGGCAGGGCATGGGTTATCTATCCCAAGTAAACCCAAAGCCCGGCGGCCAGAAACCTGCCCTGGGGCTGAATGCTGGCTGCCTGGGACATTCCCAGGTCTTCCTGTGTACTAATGCTGCTGCTTGGTCTTATATAACAGCCATCCCAACGGACAGACGCGCGGTGATGGAACGTTTATAGTCTTAGCTGCATGTGTATGCTCTTTACTCTGCCCTGCTGGAGTCAGAACATATTTATAAACGGCCAGAATGTTCTTCCCCAGTGCCTCTCTCTCTACATATATGTTGATCTTAAGAGAAACAATGTATTCTGCAACATTTTTGTTACTAAGAAAACAACTTGGAGCTGACTTGCTGGGTACCCGTCGCCCAGCATCGGGGGTGGGGTTGATAAAGAAGTAGGCCCCCTCTTGTTTTTTGTTTGAGGGTGATGCTGCCTCCCTTCATTCAGCCTATGACTGAAGGGATTTGTGTTGTAAGGTGTAGAACTGCCCCATCCCACCCCACCCCAAAGCAACCCAGGATAATTTGATTTTTCACCGACACCTCTACTTGTGATGAGATTCCAAGTGAGTGCCAGGTATGTCTTTGAAGTGTCCTCCACAGCAGCAGGGTGGACCTCTTCTCGTGGACCCTCCGCCGCTGGCCATCCGGCAGAACAGAACGGAAAGCTGGTGTGTTCTGACGGCTGCTCCCTATTGAAGGGAGGCGACATGTCGCCTTTCCAAGTGCTCTCCATTGTTCCAAATGGAAAACCCGGCAGGAGGCCACTTCCCGCCGCTGTTCATTTTTTGAGTTTACTAGGAGGCCACGTGGGCTGTGACACTCAACCAGCTGGGGTTCCCTGCCCTCCGATGCACTCTTATGGGCCGCCTCTTAGCCTCGGGGCTGGAAGTCTCACGGAACCAAACCAGGGCCTTCAGCCGTGACCCTCAACATACCTCCTGTGACCGCAGTGCCTTGAGTGGGAGCCAACCTCTCGGCCTAACACAAACCTTCCTAGTGGCTGGTGAGCGAGAGAGACGCCCCCTCAGAAAATGCGGTGCGGTTACTGGACGTGAGAGGTGGAACCATCTCCCCAGAATGACATCCGCAGGGGAGAGGGGGTGGGGGTCTGTGGCCTTGGGGACCATTAACTTAGCATCTTGGCCAGCTTGTCAAAGAACCTCACGCGCCCCCATCACCTCTGCAGTCCCCTTCCTGGGGAGAGAATGGTGGGTGACCCTTGTGGGGTATGGGTATGGATGTGGGTTTGCCACCCCCCCACCCCACCAACTGTTACAAGGCATTTGAATACATCACATTCCCATGAAAAGCGTTTTTCCCCTCCAGTGTAATGCAGTTTATTTTTGCTACCTGTAAAGTATTTTTATACGGCTTGTATCGTGATAGTTGAGCAATAAACCCGTTGGAAGCAGTGGCTGTAGCAGTGTCTTGTCTTGTCTCTGAGGAGGCCGCTCTCCCACCCTGGACCTGCTTGGGCCTGTGCAGTTCATACTGTCGGGCCAGGGTCTCGTCTTTCTGCGCAAGGCGTACACACACCAAAGGCCCGGTCTACAGCCCACAACACAGGCTCCGAAGTCACTTGCCCAAGGTTACAGAACCAAGAGGGTGAGGATGGCGCGGGGCTGGGCAGCATTTCCTTCTGCCACACGGAAGGTAACCACGAGGGTCCATGGCACCTCCTGCCCCCTCTTCCTTAGAAGGAGCCTCCAGGCAAATGAGCCTTCTAACTTGCCGCCCTTGAGTCGATACTGAAGGAGAAAACCTCGTTCTCCCATGGAGCAGCTGGCGATTTTGAACTGCTGACCTTGGAGTTGGAAGCCCAAGGTAACCACTACCCCACCAGGTTCCTAACGCCTGCCTCAAATCAGCTTTCAGAGGGGCTCGCCCCACTTCGAGGCCTCTCAATCCAAGTCAAAAGGGCCTTCACTGCTTACACGGTTTGTAAAAACACCAACGTAAAACATTTTGAAAATGTAGCTCTTACTGTCAGATGCACAGACAGATACTGTAAGGACTATAACTCCATAGGGGTTTGAGAAGCTTGGGCAGTGACTTCCATTTTTCTTTTTAAATTGTAACCACGTTCAAACTTCATCCCATCCTTCATCCCTGCCTTGGCCCCTGTGGCTCATCCCCACTGCACCCTCAATGATCCAAGGCTACCTATGAACTCACTCGTTCAAAGCCCCCACTGTTCAGCGTTCTGCACTAGAGCTGCGAGTTCCCTGTGGGCAGGGACTCCCAATCCCAGACCCTGAAATGTCCTTAGGCCCCCCTCTTGTCGTCGTTAGGACCACCTGGTCTATATTTCTCCCCTTTAGAACACAAGGCCACCCAGGTGTCCCTAAGAGCCCAGGGTTCCCAGCTTAGGACGGGGGGGTGGAGGGGTGCCTGTGTCAGCCGGATTCCCAGAGGGGCCCTCTGATGAGGGACAGCTCCCGAGGGCCACTGCTCAGTGCGTTTTGGGCAGAATCACACAAGGTGGCCAACCGAATGGCGCCGACATGGGGATATGGGGCAACTCAAGGTTGCGAACATAGACAGGAGTTCTACGGGCAGCGTTTTCTGAGGGCCCACACTCTAGGGGTGGATCTGCCCCCCTATGACTGTTTTTCTCTTATTTACTTTCTGAAAACCTACCACTGAAGGAGCCAGCCTAGTGGGCAAAGTGAAAGGCTTCGTACCATGAAGGTCCATGGTTCAAACCCACCAGCTGCTCCACAGGAACACAATGAGGCTGTTAGCCCCTCTACAAGATTTATAGCCTCAGAAACCGCAAGGAGCGGTTCTACCTGCCCTACATACGGGGTCTCTACGAGACAGACGGGCCAGATGGTGGTGGGGTTCCTCTTCCTTTTTGGAGTAACACCGAAACACAAGACCAGAACCATCATCGATCGGACAAGAAGGTCGAGTAAAGCCACAGCCATTGAAGAAAGGCCGCCTGTGTCCGACACTTGCCCCCAGCGCAATCACATCCAGCCCTGGCCTCAGTTTCCCCAGATGTAAGGGACGACGCCAATATTCCCGACCACAAAGGGGTGCTGAGTACCGAACAAGTTTGATAAAATAGCCCATCATTTAGCACACAAATTAAGACCAGCTTCCTCTACAACTGGACTTCTCACAGTGGGCGATACCACCCCCTGGGGGCACTGAACAGCCCGTCCTGGTGGGGAGGGGGCTACAAAAGTGAATGTCTACACTTGATCCTGGAGTATGGGCAAGAGTACAAAGGTGATTCATTGCCAGGTTGCGGGGGCACTGAAAAGGGACGGCACAAGTTGACCCAACACTTGCCCTCACTTTCCCATTCAAGACTCCTTTGTGTTCTAAGCACATCAATAAGGCTAGACACTTGAGTGTCTCCAATCTTTAAATCCCGAGACCAAGGGAACGCACGGGGTGGGCGTGGGCAGCAACTTCTCACCCTTGGGGAGATTTTTCGCAAATCTGAAACCCTTCCTCACCACCAACCACCACCTGGGGTCGTCCTCCTCCAAGGGGTGGCAGTGGAACAGTGGCCTGCTACCAGGTGAGCCAGTCAGAAGCGGTGAGAAGTAGAGGTGGAAGACTCAAGCTCTCTGCAGTCCTCTTAAGGAGCCTGGGTGGCGCAGTGGGTTAGATGTGTTGGGCTGGGAACCACAAGTCAGCAGTTCAAAACCCCCGGTCTCTCAGCAGGAGAAAGATGAGGCTGTCTGTTCCCATAATGAGTTAGAGTCCCAGAAACCCACAGGGGCAGTTCTACTCTGTCCTATGAGTTCTACTGTGTCCTGTGGGTCGGCATCAAGCTGATGACGGTGAGGGTTTTTGAGGCAGAAAACTGGCTTGTTTGCAGGACAAAGTTGAGCATGAAATAATCACCAAGAACACCCTCTCTAATCAATCCTGGGGCCATCAACGCAGAGCAGCCCTATAGGACAGAGGACTGTTCCATGGGGTCTCCAACGCTGTCCATCTTTACAGAAACAGACAGCCTCTTCTTCCCCAGAGGGGCTGGTAGATTTGAACCACTGACCTTTCAGCGAGCATCCGGGTACTTAAGTCCTGCACACCAAGGCTCCTTGGGAGGGTCCCCAAGGCCAGAGTCGGTTCTCTTGGGGACCTTCAGCAGGTGTGTCATGCTGGTCGGGGGCACCTTTGCTGCCAACCTTGTTGTGCTGTTTGGGACGAAGGCGAGGGAGGTTGGGCCAACCTTTCTCCTAAAGGGACTTCTCCCACTGACCCGCCCTCCCCTGCCCTCCTGGCAAAATGCAGAAGTTGATAAAGAGGCCAGTGTGGCATTATCACCCATGGGAGGGAAGCACCTGCCCTGCGCCTGCCCTTTCCCAGGCCCTCTGGGAATTCTAGGCTCCCTAGAAATTCCAAGTTCTCATTCTCCGCATCGAACGCAATGGCAGTCCGAGCTGTTTCCCAGGGGTCACGCTGCTTGCATCATCGGTCTTTCGCACAAAACAACCCACTCACTGCCGTTGAGTTGCTTCTGACTCATGAATCAGTGGTGTCTACCAGTTTGACCTCAGGCTGGAAGGGGGGCATCCGCAGCCTTCTGGGCAATCCTGACCAGCCTCGCCCCACGCAGCACCCCCAGCATCCATCGCGCCTGCGGGTCCTCCAGGAGGCCGGTGGGCGTCTATGGCGTTCTGACCCAGGACTGTCAGCATTAATGCCACCAGGGCGGTTCCTGAGGAAGCGGCATTCCTGGGACAATGGGGCCCAAACATTTACAAGCGCTCACACACTGGCTCTGGGCTCCAACCGGCCAGGCCTCTCACTTGGGAAGCTCTGAGCCATTTCTGATCCAACACATCCTTCTCTGTCAAGCTCCTCAGTTCCCTCTCCCGCTCCCCATGGCCTCAGCACCCCCTGTCTTCCCAGTGGGGGAATGACAACACCAGGTGAGGAGTTCAAAGTTAAAAGCTGGGTGTGAACCTAGAGTCCCTTACTGGTTCTGGTGGGTCCGTCAACAGCTGGGCCATAGTTCTCCACCCCCAGACACACACACACACACACACACAGGAAACTTTCCATTATCTTTCAATCTTCTCAAGCCTCCTAGTGGGTCTGAGTTTGCTGTCCTGTGAATCCCACCAGAACCAAGTGCCCACCAGCCTGACCATCGGCTCACAGAAGGCCCTTGGGAACCAGGTGAGGGCAAACCACTGGCCCAGCTTTCATCTAGGGACTACGGATGCAGCTACAGCCCCCAGAGGGAACATCGTTTCCTACAGGTGACCCAAGCGAGACCCAAGACCCAGTCCCATGAGGCTCATTATGTCTGTGTCCCTGTGCTGCCAGACCCTTATCTGTGCCACCCGACCCCCGACCCCTGGGCCTCTGGGGGGTTTCTGCGTGACAGTGAATGCCGGGCCTGTGTGTGCAGGCTCAGTGGGGCCTGCTGCATGCTCCGGGATACTGTGCTGACCTGCTGTGACTGCTTCCCCCCACCTGGTCCTCCCCAGACACACCTGCCGCCATGCTGCTCAAAGCCCATGGGAACAAACAAGCCAGGAGACACCTTTAGTGTGCTGCCAGCGCCTCCCACAGACCTGATCCCCCGGGACACCAGGCCTGCCCAGAGTGGGTTCAGGCTTCCTTGTCCCTGCTCCCCTTCTCTGATGTGCTCCCAGCCTCACCCCAAGATCCATTTCCTTCCTTGTGCCACTCACGTTTGTTAGTGTCAGTCTGCAGAGGGTCAGCAAAAGCCCGGGAGCTGCTGTGTCCTAGAGCTCTGGGCTCAAACACACTGAAGCCACGAGGCGGCTGCAGGACTGGACCATGGTGGTTCTGAATGAGGCTTGATGCCAAGTGTTCATACGCTTCCCAAATGGACCTCGCCTGCCAGGACCCTGCCCAGAACTCCAGACTCACTGACCTGCCAGCTGACTGGCTGACCTCCCCGGGGCCCGTTTATCTGCCATGTCTATTGAGCTCCTTTGATGTCCCAGGAGGAGAGAAAGGCTCTTGCACAAGTCAAGCAAGAGCTCTGATTGGATGAAGAAGTCTGGCAGGGTGAGAGTGGGGGCTGGATGGGGGGGTGGAGGCTGGTTTAAAAGAGATCTCAAAGGTTCCATGTTCAAACCGGAACTATCCCATGCTGCTTCACCCCATAACTCTCTTCACTGAGACCCGAACCCAAGGAGATGTCTAAGTCCCACCTTGGCACACCGTCATATGACCTGTCACTGTGTCAGAGCCCCGGTGCTTCTTCCAGTAAATGTCCTTAGACTGTGTTCCCAGTGGTGTG